AAAAACAAAAACAAAAAAGTTCCCTTCTCCCAGAAGAGAAAAAGAAGAGCACCACCCACTGTAAAGTTTCATGAAACCCATGCATGAAGGTTTAACATGATAGGACATCAACCCAGTTCAGCATATCTGATCAGGTTCTGAAACCCAAAGGAGTTACTTGCAAGCCAGATTCAAGTCCGAAAACACTCTAAATTAATTTCTCTTCAAAAACTGGTGTGTGGGGCTGGGTTGTGGCTCAGTGGTAGAGCACTTGCCTAGCATGTGTGAGGCACTGGATTTTAAATAAATAAAAGGTCAAATTTCTGACCTTTTATTTATTTAAAATAAATTTTTAAAAAATTGGTATGCACCCAGTTTCCCTCCAGGGATTCATATATATGTTTTGGAGTGTGTGTGTTTGTTTGACAATGAGACACAAAAATTCTAAACTCTTACCATAGTCTTAAACAGATGGAATTACTATTAATACACTTTCTAGGGGGTGTTCAAAGCAACTATTTGAATGTAAAACTATGATTTTTTTATTTTCTTTCTTTCTTTTTCTTTTTCTTTTTTTTTTTTTTTGGTACTGAGGATTGAACCCAGGGGTTCTTAACCACTGAGCCACATTCCTTTTTATATTTTATTTAGAAACAGGGCCTCACTGAGTTGCTAAGTGCCATGCTAAGTTGCTGAGGCTAGCTTTGAACTCCAGTTCTGCCTTTCTCAGCCTTCTGAACTGCTAGGATTACAGGCATGCACCACCTTACCCAGCCTTTCTCGCACGTGATTGGGCACCTCCCTGATTGGGTGTGAGGCGTTCTGGCTAGACTATGTAGGAACCAATCTCCACCCTCTCTAGGTGCGCGAGAGCCCATCCGTGTGAGGGTGTGACTGACCACTGACCCTGAGACCAATCACTGACCCTGACCTTGGAATGCTGTCCCCCTTGACCTTCATTGGATGGAATTTCCCCCTGAATTTCTTGTTCCCCAATAAAAGGCCACTCTCTGGCATGCCCTGCTTCTCTCTCTCTCCTTCTAGTCCTGAGTAAGCCTCGCTGCCCCACGGGTGGCTCAAGGCAGGAGCCAGAGGGGGGGGCCGTCTCAGACCTGGTCAAAGAAAAAGTTAAATTGAGTTTGTGTGTTTATTTTGATCTCACTAGTTAACTTCTATGCTAAGAACCTCTAGTATGAAGCTAGCGTGCTAGTCGCGCGGTTGACAAAACTATGATTTTTTTTTTAATAAGCTTTCATTATTACTTCATTTGGAATGATCACCCATTATTCCTAAAAATCTCAAGAATCAAAGATGGCTCATGAATTTAAGCTATTTTGTTCATTTGAAGTTAGAGTACTATAGAAATAGCACCAAGTCTAATAGTAAGTCACTCTACAAACACATGCTGAGAACACATGCTGAGGGTCTAAGATATGTACAGGACTGACCCCCTCTGCCTCCAAGAACTTACAGTCTAGTTGGCAAGATATAATATGTCACTAAAGTGATATGTGACTAGTGCAAATAAATAACTTAGATAATATATTTCCTAAAAGTATTGAAAGCAGATTCTGACTGCTGTGAGTTAGGGTGGTCAGAAACTAGCTTTAAAGGAAAGGAAGGAGGTGAGCAGGATGGCAGGCTTCTGAATGGTATTGAAGAAGGTCCTGCACGCAGACTTTCAGTTTTCTAAATACTTTCATATCCATACTCATTTATTTTGAATTTATATTTGAATTTAACAATAACCCTTATTAAAAAGCCCAGCATACTTCCAATTTACAGGCAAGAAAAAAAGGATGAGACCACTCAACAGTCAATACAATAAGCAATGAAACCTGGGTTTTAATCAAGATATTCTGTCTTTAAGTCCAGCAGTAGAGGTTAGTGTGGGAGAGAATGGGACAGTAACTTAACCAGAGCAGAGGATCTGTAGGGGACTTGTAAAGATTGGTGGGGTCAAACTGGTGCCAAAGAAATTGAACTTCATTCCTTCAAGCAATAAAAAGGTTGTAACATTTAGAGAGAAAGGAAAAAAAGACTAAAAGTTGAAAGACCTAATAGTTAGGAAAGAGTAATAATACTATACCCCAGGTGAGAGATAATAAAACACAATTGCTTTAAACTTTAAACTACCAAAAAACCCATAAAAACAATTTAAAAAATTCTGAAGGATAAATTGTAGATTATAATACCTACTGAGAACACAAAGGGTATGACAATTTGCCAACAACTATCTAATATCATCAGAAATATTAAACAACCCTTGTAAGTTAAAATTGGAATTGTCGACAACTTTCAGGAATTTCTAGTCCACAAATTTCGGTGTTCCTATACAAGGACTACTTTCATGGAATCCAATGAACAGCACTATGATTTTACTAAGGTTTTCAATGACTTTTTGATTTTCCATGCAGAAGCAGTTAGATTTGGTCAAATGAAGGTTGACTCATTTCCATGTTAAAGCCCTTGACCCTGCTTATAGCACAGGACTTTGCAAAGAGCAAAGACCCAATCAACATTTGTAGAATAAATGAAGCTAGGCCTACTGTACAAGAGTTCTTTACATCACAAGCAGCTCGAATGCTAGTCTGTTCCCAAATAAATTTCTCAGTATTTCGGAATCAAGTCCGGAAGAAAATCTTCCAGCTAACGTTCTTCAGCCTTCCCAGCCCAGGCCTCCTGCAAAGTCCTCCAGTAATGTTTTCCAAAGTAATGCCACAGTGCCATTTCCCGAAGATGACAACTGCATAGTTCCCTGCCATGTTATCCTCCCTGGAGCCAAACCCAGGAGTTGCGGGCGCACGGGGAAGTTTCCCAGAGGCCCGATCCGCGCCCAGGGAAGTATTTTCGGGAGAAGGAGCTGCCATCGAAACCAGTGCCTGCCCTACTCACCGCGACCGGACGGCCGTGCTCGGGGCCGTCGGCAGCGTCCAGGCGCTGGGCCGGGGCTGGTGCGGCTGGCGCCGGGGCCGGAGCGGGCGCCGGAGCGGGCGCCGGGGCTGGCGCCGTGGCCGGCGGCTGCCGGTGCTTGCCGGCACGCTTGGCCTTGGCCTGGATGCAGCGCTGGTGCAGGGCGAAGGTGTGCTGGCGCTCGAGCTCCAGACGCTCGGGCGACACGGCCTCGTAGCGGGCCTCGCAGGTGCTGTGGTGGCGCCGGCACAGCTCTATGCGCCGGCGGAGGCGCTCCATGACCGCGCTGTGCCGTGGCAGCGCGAACTCCGCCATGGGGCAAGTGGGCAGCACCATGGGCCGCGGGCTGCACGGGCCAGGCACGGGGCCGGGCCTCTCGGGGCCGGCTGGCACTGTGGGCTTCGCTCTCCGGTACGCCTCACGGCCGCGCCATGCCCCCAAGGGCCGCGGAGCGGACTCGCGCGCGGCGGCGGATCTTCCTTCTGCTCCGCTCGGCCCAACCCCGGACCGGCCTTCGCTGCCCACCTCAGGCCTTGGCCTGTCCCCTCCGGCCCGGCCCCATTGTTTTCCGCGCCGCCGCCGCCGCCATCTTAAAATTGTTTTCGGGGCTCTAGGAAGAGGGCGGGGTCCCGGCCGGCGACCTCTCGCGTCACGGGCGATGAACAGGAACTCCGACCAATCAAAGGAGGAAGAACCGGCCGCCGAAGGGCGTGGGGATGAGAACGTAATAGGTGCTCTTGGTCTCCAGAGCGGTATTTAAAAGGAACTCTCAAGTGAGGGGCCCGGGGTACCCCCGGGGAGGGCCGCAGCCCTGAGACGGGGTCTGCCATGACTGACAGGAACCCAAACTGGAGGAGACAGGTATCCTGAACACCGCCTCCTGAAGGTAGGCCCTTCCGGGTCCCCCGAGAAAAGCGGGGTAAATCCGACAAGGGCTTAACTACCTAGACACTACCTAGACCCAGATGTCTACCTGGCACTACTGCGCTTCACCATTTTCTTCTTTTTGCATTCGGTTTCATAAACTCAAAGAAGCTACGCTATTTCAACGAAAGCCGTTTTTCTTTGACCTCATTACTTATATCCAACCGTAATTGGCCAGAATTATCCACCAGTTAGCTGGTAGAGATTTCCTTCTGCACCATTCTGAAACATTGGGACTGTAAATTTCGGCTTACAGAAGTCTTAAGAAGTTTCATTTACAGAGCAGAAGAAAGAGGATGTAGGCTCACGTCCAGCTCCATTATTGGGGACTGGAATTGCAAAGGATTAGTTCAATACACAGGGAGCTTGGACTGCGAAGTTCCACTCTTAAAAGATAGTTAGGTTATAGTGAGGCACTCAACAAAATGGAACCACCATTTGGGCTCCAGTAATCTTAACTAGTAGGCAAAGGGAGAGTGGCTACTGTAAAGCAGTGGGGGAAGGAAACGGGAACGTTGAAAAGTTAATTCTACAACCTAATTTGTGTGTGGGACCAAGATATTAGAACACGTAATGATAGTGGCACCCCAATTACTAAAAAGGTTACATAGGAGATGCTAGGAGGCTGTAAACTGGAAGACACCATTAACAGCTCAAACATTATTTTCATCTTGTTTGCACTAATGGGGATTGAACCCAGGTCCTCCAGGGCTCTACCACTGGAGCTACATCCCTATCCCCCAAACGGCTTCTTAAAAAAAAGAAAAAAAAAAAAAGCAACTAGGAGCACTGCTTATTTTTTGATACTTTAGTAAGCAAATCTAAAAGCTTAATAAGCACATTAAGTATTTTCTAAAGTTATGACAAGAGTATTTTAACTATGGAGTCTAGACGATTCTGAAGAACGATTATTTTCTAATAAAAATTTAAGTTTAACGGGCCCCCATAAATCTTAAAGATTATCTATAAATTACCAGTAGCACCGCCTCCTTTTACAACAGAAACTACTGAACCACAATTGGAAGAGGCAAGAGCTAAATAAATATAAGATTGGATCAAATTCATAATTATTTCACTGTTCATAACAATTTCCATATATTAGCAAATTCCCACATAGTAACCAATGAAAGAACAATTAACCCACTACTGAAACAGGTTATTATGAAGAAGTTGAGTCAAAAGCAGACACTTAACACAGGGACTTTAATGTAACACCATTTAGTAACATGACAGTTTGAAAAAGGTGAAGAGTACTTTGTGGATAAGAAAAATGGAGGAATACATCTGATAGAGTGGGCAGTTTACAACAATGGGACAGGTAACCAGAAAATCCAAATATAAGTGCCTTTTTAAGAGCTGAAAACTGTTGGCCATTCATTAATGTGCCAGACATTCAACCAGGAAGCTGCACCTTCAAAAACTGAAGGGGGGCGGGGGGGAGACAAAAGGAATTTTGAAGAAATTTTGCTGAATAATCCTGTAATGGCAATCAACACTAACGATTTAAACCTGTCATTTTTTAGCTCAGTGGGAAGAAGGAAGTAGGCATGAAATACAATGTCAATAGAGAATGAAGGTGGCAGATTTCTGGAAATCCAATGATCCCCACACATTTACTGCAAGGAGAAATCTGCAGACATATTTTCAGGTCTTGCTAAGTAACTGTTTATTTGAACTCAATACATTTGGGAAAGTCTGCTACATAGCTAAGGTCACCGTGACCAAAGAACAACAGATAAGAAGGTAAAGCACTCAACAGGAAGAAAAATGCATCCCACCCTCAAAAGAATTTAAGTGAATCACTGTGTATATGGGGAGTGGGGGATAAAGTAAATGGATACAACCTTCCTCTTTTACAAATATAGTTCCTCCCCAACATCTCCCTAATATAAACACTGTGGAGTGTTTATATAGTGTTTATATATTCAGTGCAAAGAACAGTATCATCAGTATGACTGAAACACCTCTGAAGAATAAAGCTGAAACATCTTTCTGAATACATTTCAGTGTGGTGTAATGGTGATATTATTGTACCATAGTGATGGGGGAGAGGCTCTGATAGCACCCATCTGCATTCCACATGGAAAAAAAAAACACCTAAATTCACTTTTGAAAAAAATTCTTCAAGCCACATTAAAAAAAAAAAAATTGAACAGGGCTGTTTTATTATGTAATGTAAGACAACCGTTACATGAATTGAAAATGAAAACTTAAAATATTCCACAAAAATCAGGTAACTCATGCTATATATCACTCCTCCCATAAATACTTTTAGCCTGTGTTCAAATTACACTCAATTCGGTGTTGGCCTGCCTTTGGATTTGACTTTTAAAATCTTTACACAGAGTAAAAGACATGGATAAAAATAAGTTTGTATTCTATCCTGTACTTTGACCCTGGAAAGGTGTGGGTCTGCTTACATTAAAAAAAAAAAAAAAAAAAAACATACACTTAATCACAATAAAGCTTAACACTATGCAGAGCTTTATAATAATTTTCAGCAACGGACTGCAAGCTGCTCTGTGAAGAAACTGCATAGCAGAGGAGAAAGCTGGGAATTAGGGGAAATAGGTAAGGAAAACAGTGTCAACACAGTGGAACAAGTGATGGAAACATCTACTTTGGAGCCCACATACCCTGCCAGAGTTCCTTAAAAGCCACCTGCTCCAAAAGGCAGGAGCCCAGAGACTCCCTGTGTGTGCAGTACGAATGCCCAAGTGTTGCATTTAAGCCACCTCCTCCACTAACTGCAAAGCTGTCTGGGAACTGAGCAGTTCCAAGGGCAACAGAACACATGCACTTTATGGTCTACCCAACATCAAGTGAAAGGCTTTTTTTTTTTTTTTTTTTTTTTTTGTATGACTATTTTTAATACAACTTAAATGGAATCTTTATATAAATTTGGGCTTCCATCCAATCCCTCTCTTCAATTTCCTTAGGAGGAATTAAGTAATGGAAGCAAGCAAAACAAAATTATAACCACAAATGACTGCACTTCAAACATGATTATCAATTTTAAGGGACAGAGACACTTGAATGTTTTATAATACCAAACTTTAAAAAAAAAATTTTTTTGTTACAAAAAAATGCAATCCATCCCCATAGCATTTCTAAATGTTGGTGTTATTTCTAAATGGACAAATTAATATATTAAATTAAGCCAACATTTTAGACTGACAAAGTTCTATCATTCTATTTTTAAAAAGCTGTTTTAAAACAAAACAAACAAAAAAATACAAGTTAGTTGCTTCATGTTACATTTCACAACCATTATGTTAAATGTTTTCTTTTCTACAGAAACAGGGTCCTTTATGTCACAACTGCAAGTATTTACTGCTAGATGTTTAAAATTACATGAACTAGTGTTCGGTTGGAACCTGTTGATGGTGATGTCTTGAGGTTTTCTGAGTTTCAACCTAAGGTATGCCAGGTCCTCTCCTAGGACCACACTTGCAAGGGAAGGGGAGGGAGAGAAAAATCACATATCAAGTTCTTAAGATTGGTTCACTCTCTTCGTGGCTTTCTGTTTCTTGGCGATCTGTTCAAAATTTCATCCTCCTATTGGTTAAGAAGAAAAGAAATTCACTATAATTAACACATTTAAAAAGAAATACAAATGTTCATTACATTTTCAAGATTAGCAAGACTAATTTTGTAGCCCATTTTAGGTTTAGAAGAAAATGCACCAAAAAAACACTGACTGCCCAGGTGAGATTACATATATTCTACCTTTGTCTAATTTACCCCCCAAAAAAAGGTACTTTTCTCAAACAAACCCGTAAACATTTTCTGTAAAATGGATCAAACATTGTGCTTTTACATGTTATGTTCCTTAACCCTAAGCACTTAGTCCCATTTTGAGGATGAGAATCCTAGGATTCAGAAGAAAACTGAAGATAATCACAGTAGGTTACAAGTCCGGTGATCTTTCTATTCTAAAACTACTGCCTTGCACACCTGTAATCCCAGTGACTGGGGAGGCCGAGGCAGGAGGACTGCAAGTTTAAGGCCAACATCAGCAATTTAGTAAGACCTAGCTAAAATACAAAAGGACTGAGGATGTGGCTCAGTGGTTAATTTGACTCCTGGTTAAATTCCCCATACCAAAAGCACAAACAAAAACAAACTACTGCCTTTCCCAAATTATACCAGCAACTTTTCATCACAGTTTGGGAGCTATAAAAAATTTTGTGAGACATGGTCCCTACCTTTAAGACCTTAAGCATTCTAGTTGAGACAAAACATAGTCATTAAAAATACAAAAAAAGGGCTGGGGTTGTAGCTCAGTGGTAGAGCACTCGCCTAGCATGTGCCAGGGAGGGGGGACCCTGGGTTCAATCCTCAGCACCACATAAAAATGGATAAATAAAAGTATTGTGTCCAACTACAACTAAAAAATAAATATTAAAAAAAAAAATACAGGGTTGTAGCTCGGTGATAGAGAGCTTGCCTAGTGTGTGAGGCACTGGGTTTGATCCTCAGCACATCTAAAAATAAAAGTTTTGTGTCCATCTAAAACTAAAAACATTTTTTAAAAATTATATACACATATATACATATGTGTGTGTATACACACACACACAAACAAAATATAAATAGCATTGTTCTTCAGAAACAAAAGGAAGGCAGAGATATGATAGCTAAAAAAATAAGCGGAGTTGGGTTTGGCTCAATGGACCAGACTCAAACACAAGAGATCTTGGAGAAAGGACACTATAAGCAAAGATGTAGTAACAGAGACTATTCTCTGTTACTCCATATATCCAATCTACTACAAAATCCAGAATCCCAAGTAGTTTACACCTTCTGTCATCCTGGCTCAAAGCCACTGCAGCTTTCCAAGATGATTATGGGGGCTTCTTAACAGGTCTCTGATTTCTCTACTCTAGAGAAAACGTCCACAATGGCTGCCCATTTCACTAAAAGGAAAAGCCTCAGTGGTACAGCACTCGCCTACCCCAGGTGAGGCACTGGGTTCAATCCTCAGCACAATATAAAGATAAATAAATGAAGGTATACTGTCCATCTAAAACTAAAAAATACTTTAAAAAAAAGAAAAGCCAAGTTCATAATGGCCTATAAGGCCCCACATTATTTGTAACCTTCCTTAACTCCTTTTCTCCACTCCTTCTTTAACTACTGGCTATTCTTATCTTTTGGACTACAGCTGTAGCCTTGGTACCGGACATTCTCTCTAGAATGCCCTTCTCACTGACATCCTCACAGAACAGTCCTTCATCTCTGTCAAGTCTCTGCTCAAATGTCATCTTTCCAATGACAAGCCATTGCTTCCAGAACTTCTACTACCTTTTTCTATCTTAATTTTTCATAGCTTATCTAATACACTGTTATTTACTTCCTTCTAATGTCTACTGCTTATTGTCTATTTCCCCCAACCAGAATTTAAGCTCCTCAAAGTCAAGGTTATCTTTGTCTGATTCACTGACAATGCCTGGCACAAGAGACATTCAATAAGTATGTTAAATGAATTAATTGACTAAACCATGGACAACAGAAGGGGAAAGTTTAGAATGCAGTGATTTGTGCAAAAAATACTTGTGAGGGCCTAGTGAAGAGAGGGACAACAAGACAGAAATGTTAAAATAACTTGAAGTTTCCACCTTAGAAAGCATTTTATTATTTTTTCCTTACAAACTTCTACTTATTTCAAAAAACCATTTTCAGCACAGAAAAATACTCGAGATTCAGACAGAGCTTGATGTTTACCTGTGCCACTCAAAATCTCACTTTAACAAAATTGGGTATAACAGAATTTTGCTGTCACAGCCATTGTAAAGTACCTAATATTCCTTTTATTTAAATGTAACTTCAACTTAGTTGCTTAAAATACAAAAAGTATTAACCCGTACTTTTACCTCTGCTTTAGGTTTTCTATCTTCCTCCTCTTGACTGACAGTGCCCCCATCTTCTTCAGCATCACTTTTTTGTTTTTCTTCTAAGATATAAGTTAGAGTAAAACAACTGAGCAAATTCTTATATTTGATTCTGGTAATTAAAATAATTAGCATTACCTAAAGCAAATTTTACTGAAATTTATTTGTCAGGGTTTGAAACATCTTTGTTTAGAGCAAGATTCTTGGAGGTTACTTCTTACCAAGTTTCTCTTCACCTTCCTCCTCTTCATCTCCTTTTTCCTTCTCCTCCTCCTTCTCTTCTTCTTTCACATCTGGTTGAGGAGCATCAGTCTTCTTGTACTCCATAGCACTGGACTGTTTCTGAAATATTCCCCAGAGTACAACAACTTTCACATTTTCATGTACTACATTACCATGTAATTACTGAATGCCTACAGGCAAAGTTCTGTACCAGACTGTATACAGGGACAGATATATAGACACAAGAAAGATGTAATTTCTACCCTGAAGAGCTTTATCTTCAGTGTTTTTGTATGGTTTAAGGTAAAAGAAAACAGTAAGAACAAAAGGTCAGGTAGGAAACTTACAGGTCTACTTTGTCAAGTAAACTCAGGCACAGATATGCAGAACAGAGGTGGTATATAAGCTAGAAACAATTTGGGATCCAGCTATAAAGTGTGATGTATGTGAGGTAAAGCATAATCTTAGAAGAACCAGAGGGCATGCAACAAGGGTTAAGAAAGAAAACCTCACATGACTGTAGTATTCCCACATGTATTATTTTGAAAAATGGGGACAGTGAGGAAGCAATGAATAATGATAAATCAAAGGCAAAATTAAGGTGGTCAAGAATGGAAATAGCAATACCAGGAGAAAAAGCTGGTTTGGGCCCAGATGGCTGATTTTAATAAGTTGTTCTTTTTCTTTCTTAAAAAAAAAATCTGCTGCCAAGTACTAAAAAAGTAATTCAGTGGACTAAATACTGGCAACTAAAGGACTATAAATCCTACCCCTATCTGGGCACAATAAATGGTCACTGAGGTGTAGTGAATAAGGTTCAGAAGTCAACTCAAAATGTGGAGCTGCTACAAAGAAAATCTCAAGCCAATATATCATACTTATTTTTAACATCCTAAGTGCTCTTTCTAAAAATGATTCCTAAAAAACAACTCCTACCTTTCCAGAACAGCAGAAGAGGATGACAAGGAACACAGGAAGAGCTACAGTCAAAATGTAGACCACCCAGAGCCATGGGCGCTCCTCAGCTGCCTCAAGCATCTGCCCCACTACACCTGGCTGAAAAACAAAACAGCAATGATGGGAAGTTCTGGCTTCTGACACCAAATACAAATGCAGTCTGCACTATTTGTTCCACTGTTCAGTTATGGCACGGCACTACTTAGGCTCGTCCTTTTTCAAGGGTGCAAGCCAAGTTGCTCATATAATATAAAAAGGAAATTAGAGAAAAGTCTCCATTTTTCTGTTCTCCTTATCATCCCAGTGACTTCACTTTCATCGGTACAAAAACTGGTGGGAGGGTAGTACTGGGGATTTAACCAAGAGGCCCTTTAACACTGAGGTACATCCCCAGCCCACCACCCACTCTTCCTTAAATTTTGAGACAGGGTCTCACTAAGTTGCTGAGGTTGGCTTTGAATTTGTGATCCTAATGTCTCAGCCTCCTAAATTGCTGGAATTACAGTCACATACAACTGCACCCAGCAAAAATTCGGCTTCTTAAATACCTGCAAAAGGTTCCCCTAACATTATCAACCAGTGTTAAAGAATGTCTTATCTAAGTATCTCTAGTTCTCCAATTCCCAGTTCAGAGACATGACTAATTACCTGATAATCCATGTGTGGGATAAACCAAAAATTCAACATTTTGAGAGTGAATTAAAACATACCTTAAATGGCAAAATTTGATAGACACATACAAATTAAAAAACATACCTTGCACATAACACAATTAGACTCTAAAGCCACTATATTAAACTAATAAAATCATGTCTAAACGTCCAATATTTTGTTTTAAGCAGGCATACAGCTAATACTTTTTTAGGACGATATTCTTAAATAAGGGAAAAGACAGACACTAAATGCTAGCTTTTTACAAAACAATTAGTTACCTACAATAACATAAATGCACAAGAAATCGCAAGCACACACCTCAGCAGCTCCGTCGGCTGCTTTCTTCAGGCCCCATCCATCATTGGCCCAATCATCAACTACTCTTCGATCCCCACTAATGATGAAGTTGTCAAAAAAAATGTCAGAAGTCATGGACCACAGCTCCAAACCAATAGCACTAAAAGGAGTCATTTTGAAAGGCTCCAGATCTTCAAAGAAATCAGGATTTGGTATTTTCCGAGGTTTCCAGATTCCCTTAAAAACAAAACAACAAAAATGTTTCAAAAAATTATTTCCAATAATGACCAACAAAAAAACAACTAAGATAAATTCTGCATTATCAACAGCAGGAAGAAAACAATAAATGCTACTGATGGTTTTTTTCTGGACTTAACTAAATTGCTCAGTCTGGCTTTCAACTTGCAATCCTCCTGCCTCAGCCTCCCAAGTCACTAGGATTACAGTTGTGCACCACCACACCTTCTGGTGGGAGTGGGAGCATCAGCACAAACTTATTCAGTAGTGATGGAAAATAAAATGTAAATGATCATCAACCAGTAATTCACGTCTAAGTTAACTACCTAGAAAAATACTTGCTACATAAACCCAGACATCTACAGGAATGATTACTGCTACACTTACCTAAAAGCAAAAATTGCAAATCACCTAAATGGCCAACAACAAAAGAGCTAAGAGGCAATTTCGGAGTGCAATTTTAATATCTTAACTGTCCAAGTGTACAATTAAAAAATACATTTTACCACAGAAAAATATACATCTAGAACATGTATCTAGATATACCTAACACCTTATTTTTACACCTTACACTTTATAAATTTGATGGAATGGAAATGACTTATCATGAAGAGTCCAAGGATTTTAATGTGTACATTATTACAGTAAGCTTGGAATTTCATAACTTCACAATATATATATTTTCATATAAGCCTCAGTCTTTCTATGGGTGTAGAGGTATTAAAGCCATGCCATAAGCTGATTTGACACGATCAAGGTACCAATTCCCTGATCACAGTCCTCTGTCCACCATGTAATAGATCACAAATCTTGAGATCTGTCTGGATCCTAGGACTGAAGGACTCTGCCACCTAACAGCAGGGTGCCCAAACCACAGATTTTCCATTTCCCTTTTGTTCTTAAATTTAAGTTATAAAACAAGTATTGAAAGCTTTTCTCTCCAGTTTCTAAGTTTATCTTTGCAACACTTAACTCATTCAGTTCCCTATCAATTAATAAAGCTACTTTCTGCTCTTAATTCAACAGCTTGTATGTATATAATGATCAACCTGGCAGCCTCACTACACAAAAAACATTTACCTGAATACAAACAGATTAATGAGAGCAACTCAACCTTCTGGAGACACAAACCTGGTAGTTAGGATTATCAATCATGGGAGGCTTCCATTTGCCCTTATAATTGGGGTTGTCAATCATTGGTCGCTGCCAGACACCACACCCAGAGGCCGACTCACATTTAGGGTTGGCAATCTGAGGAGCCTCCCATTCTCCATCCATGTCCTCATCCCTATGAAGACATAAACAACAAATTACAAATGGGTTCTAGGATGCAAACCTATGAATATCCCACCAGCCCAGTGCTCCCCTGAGATCCTGCTGGAATGTTTCCACAGTCATGCTACAGAAAACCATCCTCTCTTGTTTTAATTTCCAGTAAGAGCAGCTTTGATAACAGATGCATTTTTAAAAAAATGATGATGAAGTATAATTAAATTTATCGCATTCTCCCCTTAGGAATGGGCACTTGGCAGTATTTAAGCTTTACTTTAGTAAAAATTCAGGTAACTAAAAAAATTAACTCAAACTAGGTGAAGGGCACACACCTATAATGCCAGCTACTCAGAAGGCTAAGGAAGAATAATTTCAAGTTCAAAGCCAGCCTCAGCAACTTAAGGAGACCCTGTCCCATGATAAAAAAAAGTTTTAAAGGTTGAGGATGTAATTCAGAGGTAGAGTACTTGCCAAGCATGAATGAAACCCTGGTTTAATCCCCAGTATCATAAAAAATAAAATAAAAAACAAATACATAGAAAATTATCTTAAACTCTTACCAATCCTCTGGTTTCTCTGCATCTGGATCAGGTATATATTCAGGCTCATCATCTAACCACCCTTCAGGTTTTGTGGCCTCTTCATCTGGTATTTTAGCAGGGGCATCTTCATCCCTTAAACACAAAAGAAAATTCATATTAGGACAACACTGTCCAGAGAATCACAGTAGTTCCAGTTTGTGAAACTGAAACAGCATTCTGAAAATATTTAGGCCTTAAATGCCAAAATTTTAAATAATTTCTCCTAGCAAACATTTGTAAACATGTTACCTTTTATAAAGGCCCAATATCCAAAATAAACTCTTAGAACTCAATGAGAAGATAACTCAATTTAAGAAAACCAGACTAAGTAGAATGAAAAAAAATTAAAGGAAAAAAGAAAACCAGCAAATAATTTAAGTAGACATTTCTTCAAAGAAAATATTTAAGTAATCAATAAGCATATGAAAAGATGCTCATCATTAAACATCAGGGAAATGCAAATCAAAACCACAATAAGATACCATATCACACATACTAGAGTGGCTATAATAATAAAGAATGATAAAGCTGGGTGTGGTGGTGTACACCTGTAATCCCACTTACTTGAGAGGCTGAGGCTGGAAGGTCACAAGTTCTAGGCTACTTTCAGTCACTTAGCAAGACACTCAACAACTTAATAAGACCCTAGCAAACATTTTTAAATGTTTTGTCTAAAAAGAAAGGGTTTTTAATATTTTTTTTAGTTGTAGTGGACACAATACCTTTATCTTATTTATTCATATGTGGTACTAAGGATCGAACCCAACACACATGCTAGGCAGGTGTTCAACGTTTGAACCACAACCACAGTCCCCAGATTATTTGTTTTTAAACGTTGGTTTCAAATAAGTAGTGGGAGAATCAAGACTCAACATAATAATTATGGTATAATGAATGGTGCGTTAAGAATTGAAATGCAAAAATAAATAAATAATTTTTTAAAAAGACTCAATATAATAGTCACCTGATCTTTTCAATCTTAACATTCACCCCCTCCCACCTCCAAAACAGAACAGCTAGTTAAGAAATATAATACTGAATAAGGCTGAATCCAAACCTTATGTTCACCATATATATAAACTAACCATTTATACTAGTGTACTATAAAAGTTCAGGAACATGTATCTTAACATTCAAGGAGAAAAAAGGTCAACTAGAATTTAATTGCTATGCACAGGAAGATACTTTTACAAATGGTAAAAACAGTTTTATTATTTCTTTGTTCCCTTTCTGACATTTCTGAAAGTCCCTGTATTAAGTTCAAATGTGGTCACACAGGAGAGCTTGACCCTGCTTGTCTTCATTTTTCATCAGTCTGCAATTTTCACACTACACAAAAGGCAATATGATAACTTATTTTCCTTCATGTATGTCAAGCTCACTCATGCTCCTCTACCTTCTGCAATAATGACATTCTTCAACCAGAAATGCCCTTTCCCATCTTTATCATTTAGTTAACTCCCACTCTGTCCTCAGGTCACAATTTGCTTTGCCCTGCTCAGAGAAACCATGCCTAGGTTAGCTGTATCTGACTCCCTGGTCACCTTGTTCTCAGACCACTTTCCAACTAAAATTCAGCATTTCAGGACTACAGTTTTAAATATGAATTAAAAGCACTGGCAGGGCTAGGGGTACAGCTCACTGGCAGAGCACGCACTTAGCATATGCAAGGCTCTGGGTTAAATCCCTAGTACCAAATAAAAGTAAAACAAAGTAGCACTGGAATGGCTACACCAGGAGATTGCCACAAACCAATCTTGTCTCCACAGGTAAACTATATCATCAATCAAGAATTTTGTGGATGGGGCTGGGGTTGTGGCTCAGCACTCGCCTAGCACATGCAAGGCCCTGGGTTCAATCCTCAGCACCACATAAAAATAAATAAATAAAGGTATTGTGTCCAACTATAACTAAAAAATTTAAAAAAAAAAAAGAATTTTGTGGTTGATAAAATGATATCAAACAATCTAGATTATCACTAAGACCCCTTTTTCAGCTATAATAATCTACATTTTTTTAATGCAGATTAGACTGCATAATAGAGTATTTAAATGATCAGATCTCACTCGACCAACATTTGGTTATTCAAATCACATGGAATATATAAAATGTTCCCTTACAATCAAAGACAGGTCTCCAAGACTCACCAGTCATCTGGCTTCACAGCATCAGGATCTGGGATTTTGGGTCTTTCATCCCAGTCCTCAGGTTTCCGGTCTTCTGGGTCCTCAATTTCTCGTGAAGGATTTACAGACGGAGTCATGTCATTCAGCAGATTTCCACTATTCACAACAGACTGATCAACTAGTATTTCAAAACTATTATCTGGATTCAAGACTGAAAAAAAGGTTAAATGAAGTTAAAAATAGTTTACTTCCAAGTTAAAAATATTTACTTCCAAGCTCCTTTCCCCACAACACAAAAGATTATGACTAACTAGAAGTACCAACATGAGAGCATGGAGGAAAGACCTTAGGCATTTGGGTCAGAACATGGTCAACAATGCCTGGCTCATGGGGCCCAGAGCATTGTAACTGTTCTTGACCTGCAAAATGTAAATGCTATTTCCTCAGGTTTCTAAGAATCATCACAAATGATAGTTAAAATTTCTTCTTTTTTTGGGGGGGGGCTGGCAGTGGGGGGTGCTAGGGATTGAACTCAGGGGCACTCACCCACTGAGTCACATTCCCAGCCCTTTTTAAAATTTTATTTAGAGACAGGGTCTCATTGAGTTGTTTAGCACCTTGCTGTTGCCAGGGCTGGCTTTGAACTCCTCCTATCTCAGCCTCCCCAGACGCTGAGATTACAGGCATGTGCCACCATGCCCAGCCTGTAGTTAAAATTTCTGGGGCTGGGGTTGTAGCTCAGTGGTAGAGCGCTTGCCTAGCATGTATGAGGCACTGGTTCAATCCCTGGCACCACATAAAAATAAACAAATAAAATAAAGGTATTATGTCCTTCTACAACTAAAAAAGAATATTTAAAAATAGTTAAAATTTGGGGCTGGGGTTGTGGCTCAGTGGTAGGACGCTTGCCTAGCATGTGTGAGGCATTAGGTTCGATTCTCAGCACCACATATAAACAAATAAATAAATAAATAAAGGTCCATCAATAACTAATAAAAAAATTTTTTTAAAAAGTTAAAACTTCTAACACCAAAAAAGACTTCATTTATGGACACTAAAAACCTACATAAACTAATGTGATTATTGGTCTAACATGAATGTACATACCAATCAGCAGGCAAGTAAATTGATTTTCATTCATTTGTTTGCTTTTTGTACAGTATTAGAGATGGAACTGGTGACTCAAGCATGCTACCCATGTATTCCGCACTGCAGTACATGCACAGACCCTACAGATATACTTCTGAAGTTCAGTGGAGAATGAATACACAATTTTTAATCCAAAAAGGCATCTGTTTGTTGTTACTGTTTTCTTGCAGTGCAAGGGTCAGTCTCAGGTTGCAAATATGATAAGGTGGCATTCTACTACTGAGCTACACCCCCAGGCCCATAATGGCATCTCAACTGTAATTTATGCTAAAGCCTGTATCCCTCACACAAATCTCTAACAGACAACTGACATTTACTGTTGGGAAAAAATTCTTACTCTTGTGTAATTAAGTAAGAAAGTTAAATATGTGCATGTTTACACACATATGAAGAAACATTATCCTAATATTGATTTTTCAGATAATTTTAGGTGTCTTTTGTTTGCTTATTTATATCTTCTGAATTTCTATATCCTGAATGTATATTCCATTAGTAATAAAAAAAGGTTATTTGCTGGGAGCATTGGCGTATGCCTATAATTCTAGCAGCTCAGGAGGCTGAGGCAGGAAGATCACAAGTTCAAAGCCAGCCTCTCTACCTTGTGAGGCCCTAAGCAACTCATGAGACCCTGTCTGTAAATAAAATATAGAAAATGGTTGAGGATATGGCTCTGTGGTTAAGCGCCCTTGGGTTCAATTCCTGGTACCAAAAAAAATGGTCATTTATATTCTTTAGGAAAAGAGCATATCTATATATGATCTCAATCCCCCAAGAAAGGGTTCATTTAAACAAACAAACCAAAAAGTATCCCAATATCCAAACAATTAACCTTAATTGCCCAGGTACTGAAACATCCAAAGAAAGTTCCACATGAAGACAATTTTGAAGCCAGGTTCATGGCACAGGCCAGTCATCCCAGCAACTTGGGAGGCCAAGGCAGGACCGCTCAAGTTCAAGGTCATACTCAACAATTTAATAGACTCTCAGCGACTTTGCAAGACTTGTTTCAAATAAAAAAGGACTGATGATGTAGCTCAGTGGTAAAGTGCCCCTAGTACCAAATATAAAAAAGACAATTTCAAAAAATGTTATATACATTTCTACTGCACATCCTAATATTCAACATTTTCTCAACGAAAAACTAAAAGAAGCAGAATGAGAGGCTCAAGGAAGAAATTAATAAGGGGACTTTCTTTTTCTTTTTTAGGTACTGAGGATTGAATCCAGGGGTATTTTATCACTGGGCTATATCCCAGTACTTTTTTTATTTTGAGACAGAGTCTTGCTTCTTATACTGGCCTTGAACTTAAAATCCTCTTGCCTTAACCTCTGGAGGTGCTGGGATCATAGACTTGAACCACCACACCCAACTAAAAAAAGCATTTTTGTTCATTTGTTTTACAGTGATGAAGATGGAAACCGGTACCTCATGTATGCTAGGCAAGCATTCTACCACTGAGCCACATTCCTAACCCTTAAAGAATATTAAAATTGTTTCAAATTTTAGTCTTCAGGCAACCTGTGGAAAAGAAGCTTTCTTTCAGAGTTGACCAATTAAGCTCCTAGCAGTAAGTAAAAAACACCAATCTCATTTGCAAGCTTGAATATTCTCCAGATGACCAACATGAATGTCTTAAAACCCCAAAATACTAATTTTTCTTACTTAATGTATAAAGATGTGTTTTCTTATCAGTAAAATAGGTCTTCAGATCTGCATCTGGTCTCTTAGCGTGCTTTTCTTCATATACACCCGTCTTAGGGTTTTTGTGGCGAAAGATGAAGTGTAATTTATAATCCTCTCCACATTTATCTGGACCAAACATAATTGTATAGGGGGTCTTGTCGTGGAACTGATCCTTCAGAAACAAAAACAGATTATTTTAAGTAACTCTAGTCTAAGTGTTCAAAAGCAACCTTTCAAAAAAGTGTGTATTTCCTCTTATAAAACTCTCAAGCTAAATTAGTGACAGTTAAATGAATAACCAACCAATCATCAGCAAATTTGTGCTTAAGAAAAAAGTAATACATATAACTAGCTACTGTTTCATTCATAAAACAAAGAAATAAGCTAGCTTAAAATTAAAAATCACAGTATCAAAACCAGAAATGAGAAAAAGTTGGTAATAGAGCTTTAAAAGTCAAATTTCAAATGAAAACTAATTAGTATAAAAGACAATACTATCAGCTAGGCGCAGTGGTGCACACCTGTAATCCCAGCAGCTAGTTCAAAGCCAGCCTCAACAAAAGCGAGACACTAGTGAGACCCCCATCTCTAAACAAAGTACAAAATAGGGCTGGGAATGTGACTCAGTGGTTGAGTGCCCCTGAGTTCAATCAATCCCTAGTACCCTCCCACCTCCAAAAATATGATCAACCCACCAAAAGATTTCAACAGCAGGTCTTTATTTTCACGGGTCTTTCAAAAAATTTTTTTCTTTTCTCTAAAATTCTTCTTTAAAAACTTGTGGGTGGCTAGCTACATAAACAAATAGAAGTACCTACCAAGTTGAGTTCTGGTGTTTTGGAAAGCAGTTTCACATAAGCACCTCCACATTCTATTCCATTTTGGAAATTAACCTCATACCTAATTTCAGAGAGAAAAGCAGAAAATTCTATGGCATTTTCTAAGATCGAATCTCATAATTTCTTTTCCCCCCCACTCCTGATTATACGTTTATCTTTTAAAAAGGATTCCATCTTCTATTGATTTTGGATGGCTACACAATCCTACAAAAATAAATATGCTAATTAAAAGTAAACCTTGCAGATTCCCAATAAATAGTCTGTGCAAAATCTAGATGTTCATTTACTATCAATAGGATGAACAGCCAGTTTGTTACAAAATAATTTGTTGGGCAGGAAAAAAATAATAATAATTTCAAGATGCTAAATTCTAAATTCACCCAAAAAAGAAATCTATTGTAATTTATATAATCTCTCTCTCCTTCTCACACACACACACACATACATTTACTTAGAGTTATAGTTTCATAATACCTTCTGAGATTACCCTTCTAAAAAGTTTCTTTTTCTTTTCTTTTCTTTTTTTTTTTTTGGGTAGTACTGGGGATTGAACCCAGTGCCTCTTGTAAGTGAGCTACACCCCCAGTGCTCTAGAAAGCTTTTACCAAACATGCATTTCACTTACTGAACAATGAGAGGCTTGGTATCAAATAGGAAGGGTTTGCTCAATTTAGCAGAGATGGCATGGTGCTTGGCTCGAGACATCAATACAAGTCCTTTATCACCCGGAAGCTTTGTTTCCTTCATTTCATCTACCTCCCACTTTCCTAGAAGAAAACACACACAAAAAAAGAGCTCTCCACTCCTTAACTATATCTTTTAAAATATATATATATATATATATATATATATATATATATATATATATATATTAGTTTTTAGGTGGATACAATATCCTTATTTTTTATTTTTATGTGGTGTTGGGGATCGAACCCAGCGCCCCGCGCATGCCAGGAAAGCGCACTACTGCTTGAGCCACATCTTCAGCCCAATTGATTGGATATATATATATTTTTTTTTTTTTTTTTTTTAATGTGTTGTTGAGGATCTAACCCCTGTGCATGCTAGGCGAGTGCTCTACCGCTGAGCCACAACCCCAGCCCTAAATATATCTTTTAAGGTCTTCTAAATGATAACAAACTAAACTCCAAGTTGTATAAGTCTATCATACTGACAAATTTTAACACATTCTACTTATCTATGAGAGTTGGGCCATTAATTTAGGCACATGAATATTTGACAAATAATAGGACATGACTTTTAAAAAGTCAGCAGCATATTCATTATATCACTGCCTAGGAAAGACCTTCCATTTCTAACATACAGAAGCATATGTAATAAATAGTTCTATCACTCCATCACATATAAAGCATCACACAAAGATGGCACAACTCTCAAGGAAAAACAACTTCTTGTTGTTGTTTGTGGTGCTGGGGATGGAACCCAGGACTTGGCATGTGACAGGCAAGTGTTCTACCTCTGAGCTAAACCCCAAGCCCACCAAGGAAAAATCTGAAAACATATCTCCTTTTATTTTTATTTTATTTTTTTTCAAGGGCTGGAAAAAACCCAGGACCTTGTGCATGCTAGGCAAGGACTCTTCCACGAAGCTTTACCCTAACCCCAACCTCTCCTTCTAAATCGGTCTTTTTTTTTTTTCATTGTCTTAAATCACTATTAAGAAATTCCATGGAGATTATATTAAATCTGCTATTATATCTAGACCAAAAGGAATTCTCACCATCATATTTGGCAATTTCATCATCAGTGTCATCTTTCTTGGCTTTGGATAATATCCACCTGTAATTAAGACAAACCCCAAAATTATGATCAAATGATAGCTATTTGTTAAGAGAAACGATATAGGATAGAGGGGAAAAGGGAAAGGAATGAAAGCAAGAACTACAAGCTTCAAAAGAATACTTTCCTAAATGGACACAAACACTGAAAATATAAAGGCTAGATATTTCCATTATATAAAATGTAATCCAAAAGGGAACCATTATTCCCTCTTATTTACATCATGTTCAACTCCCTAGGAGCTTCCTAGCGAAAAAAAAAAAATGTACCTACCCTGACAGAGAGCCTCTGTCAAAGGAATCAGCAAAATAAACTTCTCCTGTTGGAACTGGAGCTTTGTAGGTGACCTGTGTTAAACAGAAGAATAGATAAAAACCTGAAAATTTTGGCAACTTTTTCTTGGTGGAATTTATTTCACTGTTTTGATTGTCACAAAACTGTCATAGGAAGAAGTCTTGAACTTCAATCCACATAGATCTTTGGAAAGAAATAACAAAGGTTGCCAGAGAGATTAATAAAAAGTTGGCAACCTTTGCTTTTCCTTTAAAAAAGATACAAATTTATCAATTTTTTTCCCTTTAAACAGTGCTGGCTAGGAATTAAACATAGGGCCCTTTTGTTAGGTAAGTGCTCTACTACTGAGTTATACCCCAGCCACTATCTTCAAAATTTTATTATCAAGAGATAAAAGGCCAGGTACAGTGATACACGCCTGTAATCCCAGGAGCTCAGGAGGTTGAGACAGGAGGATTGCAAATTCTAGGCCAGCCTCAGCAACTCAATGAGACTCTGTCTCAAAATTAAAAAGGGCTGGGAATGTGGCTCTGTGATAAAGCACCTTTGGGTTCAATCCCCAGTACAAAGAGAGAGAGAGAGAGAGAGATAAAAGGAATATAGATTCAAAAACTACTTCAAACCTTTGGAGATGGAGGCATACTGGTATCTGATTTTGAGTCTTCTACCTCTTCAATGACATCATCAAGGTCATCCTCAATATCAATCATATCATCTTCATGCCCATCATGAGCCTGAACAACAGTAGCTCCAAGGACCAGAAACATACATAATAACCACTTCCCTTCCATGATCTATATAGAGAGTAAAATAAATTCAATGTGTTAACTTCTCTTGTTTAAAATTAACACTTTCAAATCAAAGAACTAAAAAGAATTTTACTGTATTTTATCCTAAAAGCAAGGAGAAAAGTAAACCCAGAGAGATTAAGGGGTTTTCCTAAAATTAGTTAAAAGATTCAATTTTAAGCTAGGCACAGTGATGGACACCAGTATCTCAGGAGGTTGAGTCAGGATGATCACAAGTTCAAAGCCAACCTCGGGCTGGGAAGAGTGCTTGCCTTGCATGCCTAAGGCCCTGAGTTCAATCCCCAGCACCACAAAAAAAAAAAAAGGCCGGACTCAGCAACTTAGTGAAACCCTGTCTCAAATAATAAAGAGCCAGGGATGTATATCAGTGGTAAATCACCCCTCGGTTAAATCCCAGTACCCCCAAAATAAATTGACTAAAAGACTCAAGAACAAAAATATTATACCAAAAATGAGCTACTTTTAACTCTTATTTTCTAAGCACTTATATATTATATTAGACTTTATATCAGACTTATGGGTGGTTAGGTGGGCCTCCTCTCCAAAGAGCCTTGATCTAAAGAAATAATAACTGAGCCACATGGGTAGTTTTTTTTGTTTTGGGGCCTGAGAAGGCAGAGTGAAGATGAAGAAGCTGGGGAAGAAACAAAAATTTTTGTAAGTGCAACACCATGTGCTCTCAACATATGGCACAGAGTATCCTTTTTTCCTTGTTTCAAATTAACACTGGTCTTCCCTTTCATTACCAGGACATTTACTGGTATCCTACATTACTAAGGGTTCAATTCTTCCTCTCTGAGGCCATTCGATACCCAGATGATAGCCTCATCACCCCCAAAATCTTGAGTCCCTGTTTGCAAAAATCTCTATGCCTAGCAATCAGAACCCTCTCCCTTAGGCCGTTCCCCCAAAATCCTCCTTTCATCCTAGAGAAGATGTTTCCCACTTCCCTTATGTTTACCAACATTCATTATTTGCTCCCTTAATGTGCATTTAAGTAAAGCTAAAATGCACCACGTATTATTTTCCTATTAATTTTTCCTCATGACAAAATCTGTGGATTTCTGTTCACCTTTCTCTCAGGCTCCTTGCAGTGCTCCAAAATCCGCACAAGAGTCCTGGTTTCAGATAAAAATCCTATGATAAAAACATTGTTGGGCGGAGGATTTAATTCAATTGTAAAGCACTTGCCTAGCATGTTCAAAGCCACTGGTTTAATCACCAGTCCTGGGTGGAGGAACAGGACAACACTGTTACAAGAACACTGGATTTGAAAAATTCTTTAAAAATTTTTTTTTTGGGGGGGGGGGTGTTACTGGGGATTGAACTGAGGGATGTGAGCCACATCCCCAGCCCTATTTTGTATTTTATTTAGAGACAGGGTCTCACTGAGTTGCTTAGCACCTGGCTTTTGCTGAGGCTGGCTTTGAACTGGTGATCCTCCTGTCTCAGCCTTCTAAGTTGCTGGGATTACAGGTGTGCACCACCATGCCTGGCCTAAAATGTTTTTTAATCCAGGAATATCATATAAAAATAATCCAACAAGTGTTGACAGTGATGTAGAGAAGTTGGAATCCTGATGCACTGTGAATGGGACTGTAAAATGGTACAACTGCTATGGGAAACAGATTCCATATGATCCAGCAACCCCATTCTGCAGTGTGTGGCCAAAATAATTGAAAGCAGGATCTCACAGAGGTATTTACATACCCACACCCATGTTCATAGCAGCACTATTCACAATAGCTAAGAAGTGAAAGCAACCAAATCTATGGATGTCAATCAATGGATGAATGTGGCATACAGATATAATGGAAGACTATTCGACCTTAAAACAAAATCCTGTCATATGTCAGCACATGGATACTTACTGAAGATATCACGCTAAGTAAAATAAAAGTTACAAAAGGACACATTATGCATGATTCCAATTTACATGCGGTTTCTAAAGCAGTCAAAATTCAAAGGCACAGAAAGTAGAATTGTAGCCAACGGGCTGGGGGGAAAGAGCAATGAAGAGATTTTTATTTATCTGCTGGCTGGTACAGGGATTAAACTCAGAGGCATTTAACCACTGAGCCACATCCCCATCCCTTTTTATTTTTAAATTTATGATAGGGTCTCACTAAATTGCTTCTACCATGCTAAATTGCTAAGGCGGGCCTCAAACTTTCAATCCTCTTGTTTCAGCCTCCTTTTTTTTTTTTTAATAAGAATAGTTTCAATTCTGCAAGATGATAAAGTTCTGAAGATGTTTCACAATAGCATAAATATGCTTAACACTACTGAACTATATATTTAAAATTGATTAAGAAAGGAAATTTGCACCTGTAATCCCAGCAGCTTTGGAGGCTGAGGCAAGGAGGACCCAGAGTTCAAAGCCAGCCTCAGCAAAAGCAAGGCACTAAGCAACTCAGTGAGACCCTGTCTCTAAATTAAAAATATAAAACAGGGCTAGGGATGTGGCTCAGTGGTCCAGTACCCATGAAATAAAAAGAAAGGAAATTTGGTGATATTTTACAATATTTGGTTACAATAATCATAACTTTGTAAAACAGGGCTGGGGGTATAGCGGCAGAATATGCTTTAGCATTCAGAAGGCCTTAGGCTCAATCCCCAGCATCCCTGTTCTCTAAAATGTAAAACAAAATTTGTTGAAGAGTAGTAGTACTTAATTAAAGCACAAAACCAATGAATTAAATAGGACTAGGTTTTGGTATCAGAACATTGTTTCTGCTGGAAAAGTAAACAGTCCAATGGGCTAGTAACTTACCTTTAAAAAGGTAGGATTTCTTTTTCTCAACATTTTTTAATTTGTTGATATACTGTTGTTACTATGACTGAGTTGTATAACCCACCACCACGAAATTCATATTATGATGCTTCAACTCCCTATGACTATATTTGGAAACAGGGCCTTTAAGGAGGTAATTAAGGTTAAATGAGGTCATAAGGGATCAATAGTGCTGGTGTCCATGTAAGAGGAAGTAGCAACAGGAGCACACACCACAGAAAAAAGGCCAAGAGAAAACAGAGGGAAAAGAGGGTCACCTGCAGGCTAAGGCAAGTTAGGAAGGACCTCACAAGAAAGTAATCCTGACAGAACCTTTGTCTCTAATAACCTCTAGCTTCCAGAGCCCTCAGAAAATAAATTTCTACTTTGGTATTGTTACTGAGATAATTGTCTTTAGGTTTTTAGGTATAATGAAGTAGGGCAGTACATCTCAAACTTGAACATATATCAACATCATGGGAGGGGAGTTGTGTATTAAAATCCAGACTGCTGACACATGTGATGGTAAACACGTGTAATCCCGCTTCTTTGGAATCTTAAAAGACAGGAGAATCCCAAGTTCTAGGCCAGTCTGGATAACTGAGCAAAAACTCTGTCTCAAAAAATTAAAAAGAGCTGGGGATATAGCTCAGTGGTACAGTGCCCCTGGATTCAATCCCCAGTATAGAATAAGCAGACACCCCAAAGATTGCTGGGCTCATCCCTAAATTTGTTTCCACAGGGCAGGGCAGGGCAAGGCAGGGAAGGCAAAGTTAGGCCTGATTCAATGGGACTTTAGGTTAAGAGGATGCTGAGGATACTGGTCCAGAAACCACACTTTGAAAATCATGAATTAGGCTTATGAATAATCTATTTATACTACATTCCAATTTACAAATGTATTTTCACATACATTATTTTATGTAAACTTTCTATGAGGTATTCCTCTCATTTTCTTTTACACACTAGGAACTAATAAGACTTAGTGAAGGGCTGGGGATGTGGCTCAAGCGGTAGTGCGCTCGCCTGGCATGCGTGCGACCCGGGTTCGATCCTCAGCACCACATACAAACAAAGATGTTGTGTCCGCCGAAAACTAAAAAAAAATAAATATTAAAAAAAAAAAAAAAAGACTTAGTGAAAACCTACTCATTTTGACAATAAATAAACAAGATTCAAAGAAACCAACCCTCCTCCCCCGACTGAAACCCTAAACATGTTACCATGTAGTTTCACACTGAGGTAGTATGACAAGAGACAAAAGACAGGAAAGAGCAGCAAAGGGAATGATCCAGAACAGAGACATTTTGGCAGGGTTTAGTAAGGGAACATGTGACTATAGAACAACTGGCCCAGGTTAGGAGACCATGAAAACTGGTGTTATTGGAGGGCAGGGGGGTGTTACTGAGTAGGGAAAGCAAAGCTATCTGTCTTGTTGGGAACAAGTAGATATTTCAAATAAACTACAGGGAATGCATTTATCTTTCACCACCATTTCCCCTGCTCCCTGAGTTGTAGAACCTGATTTTCTACAAAACAAGAAAGAGGTATTTGGGCACTCATCTGTTCCGTTCACATTATCCAAGGGTTTGTGAAAGCTCACAGTTCAAAATTATTGAACTGTGCCATGTCAGTTCTCACACTGGTACACTAAGGAGTCTCAGTCACTGCAAGCTTTACATATGCTATTTTAACTATAATCTACTAATACTTCCAACATAATGCTAGTTATTGGGTCTATTCTAGTTCTAAAAAGCCACTATTAAGCTGACTTAAATTTTCCAAATATTGGGCTGGGGATGTGGCTCAAGCGGTAGCGCGCTTGCCTGGCATGCGTGCGTCCCGGGTTCGATCCTCAGCACCACATACAAACAAAGATGTTGTGTCCGCCAAAAACTAAAAAATAAATGTTAAAATTCTCTCTCTCTCTCTCAAAAAAAAAAAAAAAAAAAAAAAAAATTTCCAAATATTGTTAGACATATGTTCACATTTGCCAACAATTCAAGATAATATACTTTAAGGTGATGTTAATTTTCTACTTCATTAATGAGAATCGGACATTAGCAAGAAACACCTTCCCTTCAGTCTCCCTATATACACTTCTCATACCAAATGTGATCCAAGAGGTTACACCTATATTGACCAATTGAGCAGATACACAAAAAGGATGTTGTAACTACTATGCTTTCTAGAGGAAAATAGGAGGAAATTT